CTTGCCTGTTGGTTATGGCATGTTTGTTCTATCGCAGACCCTTTGCTTCATAGTGACGCATTCGGTTGTCATGCTGCCGCGCTACTTTGAGTACAGCATTGAGCGCGGCCCGGGGAACACACGAGTGGAATGGATTCGTGTTTTCACGCCGGGCATGTGGCAGCCTGTGGCAGAATCCACCTTAGGCCCGGCTCCGGACCGCGCGTCCACATATCGCGAATGGCGCAGAGTCTACCACTTTGACGTGTACTTGCCTCGTGACAGCACAGGAGGCACCACTGCGGATGCACTCGCAACACCGGTCTCCTACGCATCCTATCACACATGGCAATTTCGTGATTGGCACACGCGGGGATACCAACGCCTTGGTGGCCCACGTCCATACATTGGATCGACAGATTTCGTGTCCGATGGATTGCCGTCCTCGTCGGCGTCTGCAGTTCCTGATGGCGCGTGGCGTGAACCTTCGCCCCCGCCGAGCTATGATCCTACTTTTGACTGGGACGAGTGATATTGATGCTTGGAGTGAATGTTGTTTAAATCATTGCGCTTGTTGAGTCTTGCGTCTTGAGTGCATTGCCTGCGGCCTTTAGATTGCTTACCTTGTATCATGTTTGTACCTTGCAGCCGTGTGCACCTTTGACAATCATCATGCCGTGGCTAGAATGGTGCCCTGAGCGACCTGACGCTCAATCGGTTAAGATTTTTCATCCAGGATCATGGACACCACAGGACGAACGTGATGACCCTCCTCCACGTCATACGTACAGGGAATGGAAGGAGTTTTATGCCCCAAATCATGCTCAAGACGGCGATCAACCCACCAGCAGCACTTGGTACAAGAGGGACTGGACCACAGAAGGTTACCGGCGCGTTGCAGCTCCTGAACCTGATCACGGCTTCAACTCGATGTCTTCTCCTGATCAACACAACGTGGCCACGCAATCATCGGCTTTGTGTATGTCTACGCAGATTTTGAATGCGATTCTTCGATCTTCGGATGCTTCGGCTTTCTCTACTGAGGATCTCACTCGTCTTCAAGCAGGGATCTGTCAGCAGCTGTCGGATCGCGCGCGTCAAGCGTCCCACCATCACCAACAGGTACGTACTTCTCGGGGCGTTGAGCCACCTGAGTCTATTGGGGTCGCTGATCCATATCTACCTGCAAGCCAACCATGCAGCTCTACCAACAAGGAGAAGCCTAGCTTCGAGCTAGTTGCTGAATAGATTGATGCGTTTTGATCGTGGCACAAAAGGGTGCTTTCACATGCTCTTGCTTTCGTGTGTTTGTTGGTTGTGCATGGTTGTGCATGGTGACTGTCTCCTTGCTAGCTGGATCGGAACCTGTGGTACGCTTCGACATGGACACAGATGGTGCAACTCGAACGTCGGCCCGGATTGACGAGCACCCATGGCTCGAATATTCCGTCTGGCAAGGTCAGGAGTGGGTGCGGATCTACACTCCAGGACAACCTCAGCTGTGGCACCCAGAAGAGGAAGTACCTGACCTGCCAGACAACTCGTTTCGGGAGTGGAAACGGGCAACCGATCCAGATGATGAGACTCGTGGACCAGGTCAAGCATGGACAATTCGAGACTGGCAACATCAAGGTTATCAACGGATATTGTCCCGCTATGAGTCTTTCTCCACCCATCATGCTCCGGACCAACCACTTGTTGACGTACAAAATCCGGACATCATCCAGGTCGAGGAAATGTTCACCTACGCCCCACCCATGTCTGAGGGTGCACATTCGTCATCTTTGCATCTTCCGCTTGTCTTCTATGGCGGCACACGTCTTGCTCAACTTGGAGATCCTTCGTCCCCGTCTTCTGAGCGGCATCGTACAGAGCGTGCAATTTCTCGTTCCCCCCGCCGCTGTGGATATTTTGGTAGACGTTAAGGAGTTAAGGAGTTGAGCGAGTGATCTTCCGGAAGTGAAAAGAGTATTTTCGCCCCTCGCAGAGGGGTGTGTGTGTGCGGAGTGGCAGAACATCCTGCCACCACAATTTCTCACGCAGGGGGACACAGCACTTCACTGGGACTGTGTCCAACGAAGCTACCAGTGAAGTGGGATATCCAGCTTGGCCAGCTGGACGTACCTGCATCAGTGATTCTGAAAGTCCTTTTGGCCCCCTTGGTTGCGGCGCTGTTTGTGCTTCTTGTTCTTTCTGGTAACGTTTTCGCCTCTACATGGAACTGAGTGCTTCGCGAGCCGAAAATTATTGTACTCGAGACTCATCAGTTGTACTCGAGACTCATCAGTTGTACTCGAAAGATTAGCACCCTCCATTTGGAGTTCAAGTGTGTGTGTGTGTGTGTGGGTGCGTGCGTGCGTGCGTGCGTGGGTGGGTGGGTAGGTGGGTGGGTGGGTGGGTGGGTGTGTGTGTGTGTTGCCAGGCCCGAATGCAATCCAAAATTCCAGGTTGATTTTGCCACGGCGCATGGTGTGCAATTGTTCGGGGATTCAGATTTGAGAGGTTTGCTTGTGCTATGCAGAACTCAGGGTAATCACTGTGATTTGCCCACACGCACTCACACGCCCAAACCCACGTACCCTCCCCGCGCGCAGCTCGCCCACCAACGGCGTGAGCAACTCACATTCACACACCCTTCATGGGGGCGCTACCACATATCAACCAACCAGCCCACTTGCCCACCTACCCCACCAACCAACCCACCACCCCACCCACCCACCCACCCACCCACCCACCCACCGACCCAACCAACCAACCAACCGCCCGCCCGCCCGCCCAACCAACCAACCACCCAACCAACCAACCAACCAGCCAACCAACTAGCCAACCAACCAACCAACCAACCAACCAACCAACCAACGAACCAACCAACCAACCAACCAACCAACCAATCAACCAACCAATGAACCACCTGGTGCTTCGGGAAGAAGCTGGTCAGCAACTCTCACAGGGGATTAAATTGGGGGGAATTCACAGGGATCCAAGTGAAACGCACGCTCAGAGCAGTTTTTAACTCTATGAGACCTGGCATGGAGGTTTCAAAAGTGACCCAATAACCTGTGCGCTGCTTTGCCTGTAAGCGGGGTCACAATGGCGTTGGGTTTTCCGCGGGTCGACATGTGAGGTCTATAAGACCGTGCTGCCCAGTGCCTGAACCCTAGAATGTCAGGCCTTTGGCAAAAAATGACGCGTGGCACAAGGGGTCCCGTTTTGACAGCCCCAAAGGTAAGGGGACCAGGTGGTTTTCCTCTTTGGGAACTGAGTCCGGAAACGAGGTATGTAACCAGCTGAAGACCCGAGGCGCAGTACGGGGCGATGATCACGGAACTGGCCTCTGGCACTTGCGTGGCCTTAGAGGCGCCACCGAACCGTCCCCTCAAAATTGGTGCTCGGTACCTACGGGCGGCTGCGTGGCTGCGTAGCTGGTGGGTGGGGTGGGTGCGTGGGACAAAATGGACCAGGAAGACATAAAACGATTCAATGACAGCAACACAGCCAATGGCCTGCGTTGCAAGCAGAAAGCCTGAAATCTGTGACCTTCGAATGTAGATATGGCTCGCAAGATGTCCGGTAGGGATGTTGTAAATGAAATAAACCTGACCCCTTGGAAATAGATTCTGGCTGCCGAGGAAATGACGCCCCACAGAAGAAGGTAAAATAGCAGAACACGTGTCAACAAGCATCAGGCATCAACAAACTGTCAAGGCAGGCCTGTGAACATCCTGAAGCCTTTTCCAGCAGCCACAAGAGGTCCATTATAGCCAGCTTGCGAGTGCAGCCGGAGATGGCCAGTTTTTGGGGCAGGAATTGTTCTTCACATTTGTGGAAGTTTGGCATGCAGCGGATTGTCCTCACTCATTTCAAGGGAATTCCTGGGCTAATGGCAATCAATAATTTGCTCAGGTCCAATCATACTTCGTAGTACTTGAGGCAAAGGAAGCACTGCGCTGCATTGGACAGGGTAATGCATTTCCTTAATGAAAACGTCAAGTTAAGTCTCGTTTGGCGTGATGTTTTAAAGGGGAATCATAGGGATCTTTGAAAGGCGGAGTGCGAATCCTGTCATGTCGACCCGCAGGTGCGAGGGGAGGATGTGGTTGCCAGGCCTGGGGGAGGTTTGTGAATCCGTGGAAGTTCTCCTTTGAAGGTATTTGGGAGATGTTTCGTGCACTTGTCGATTGAAGTCGTGGCGAGTTACTTGGATTTGGAACATTTTGGTCGAGCTCAAAACCATTATTGATGAGAGTTTGTCTCAACATGGTGCTTCCCCCCCCCCAAGCACACACCAAAGAACGAGCGGGTTCCTCGTTTTTCTTTTTTTTGAAACAACCCCACGGTCACGCATGCCAGCGTGCCCGAAACACATGCGCACGTGCTAGGTCCGGACAGAGTTGAAAGGGCTCCGGTTGAGAATAGATGAATTCTGATGAAACTGCTGGTACCATTTACCAGCAGAATCCATGTGGGTTTGTGTTTTGTGGGTGCCCTTGCGGAAAAGCCGCAGTTATTGGGTTTCCCATATTTTCACGCGTCATCAATTTTTCCGAGCCGACATGTGCCATGGATAAGAGCCGCGAGCTGCAGGTTGCGAGAGATTTGCGGGCCCTTCGACGTTGAAATCGCAAAGCCAGGGGCTGAGCATGAGATGAAACAAGACGTCATGCCTTCTCTTTCCTTTTTTGGTGCTGGCGGGGGGGGGGGGTGGGGGGTTGGGGTGGTGGCGTTCGGTCGATTTCTTGTTTGCCGGCCGAAAGCTGTGAGGCAGTGCCAGGTTTGCAATTTCCTTCTCAAAGTCCTGGGAAGCTGATTGAGCCAAATGCATCGCCCTAGGCCATAAACTTGACTCAACCTCTAGTGTCACTGGTCCGAAGGAATCTGAGGCTTTCAAATCCCTGCGAGTTCAGCTGCCACGTTCATTACACTGGCACAGCCTTGTCTTCTCGTCTGATTCTTGGCTTAAGCTTCTGATTATTTGTACGAGGACCAACTGCTCACGTCTGCCCTGAGTAGTTGCAGTTCTCATGTCGGAGATGGAGGTATGGCAAATCAAGATTTGCCTTGCCATGACCGGTGAAGTCGTGGCGGACGTCGAAGCAAGACCCACAGACACAGTGCTTGATCTGCGAGCGCGCTTGGCGGAACGAACGTCTGACAGGCGCCCAGTGTCGCTCTTGTTTCAGGGCACTCGCCTGGTGGGACGAACCTCGTTACGCGACGCGGGCTTGGCCACGGGAGCAGTTCTGGACCTGCTGCGTGGCGGCTTGCCGGGCTGGACGCGGCTCTGCCACGGGGACCAAAACGCCCAGGAGACCACGGGCCGGCCGCTGGTGTGGGACGTCTCGCCGGAGGAGGTGCCGGGCCTGGCCGAAAAAGCCCAGCGGGTGCGGATCCAGCAGCGGGGCCGTCCGGAGCTGGCGGTGGAGAGCCTGGCCGGGAGCTACCCCGTGCAAGATCTCCGGAAGGGCCGTCCCATCGGCTTCGGCACCGGCCGCGACAGGAAGGAGATCTCCGGCACCTGGGTCGCCGAAAAGGAGGGCCTGGTGCCGGAGCGCCTGTGGCACACTGGCTTTCATTGGCATCGCCCGGATCATGACAAGCTGGAAGTCAAGGTCTACCATTGCTGTGACAACGGGTCAGGCATCCATTGGGACTCCGAATGCTGTGGCTGGAACTGCGGTTCGAGCGAGGACCTGGAGCTTTTCATTGACGTGGAGTTGCACGAATCTGGTTCAGGGTTGCCTCAATGACGACGCATCTGGTTGTAAAAGTGCCACCTTGTCTTCTTATCTGATGATATATTTACGTGTGCTCGTATGCCTGTTTAGACAGGCTTCCCCCTCCCCCAGGAACCAGCACGAGCATTTTCTTAAAATCATCCGTTGCATTTCCGATGTACCAAAGGGTTCTATGCACTTGTATGGCTCGTTATTGGCCAAATGAGGCACCTGCGACCCAACACCATCCGTGCCCAGTATGGCTGCGACCCGAGAGCTGGGTGGGACAGGGGGCGGAATCGCCAGGGAGCAGTGAATTGCATTCCCTGAAACAGTCTGCATTTTCAGTGACCATGTGGGAGAAGGACACCATGCAGCTACAAGCATGTTGGGTTCATTTTCAGGCGAGCGTGCTTTGGTTGCGGTAGTGTTTAAAGGATACAAGGAACCCTGGCAGAGTGCGTTCTCCGGTTTCAACACGCTTCCTGAAGGTTCCCTTGTCGACAGCATCCAACAGCGGCTCCGTCAATTTTGAGGGCCCGTGTGGCCAGAAATTTCGGTGGGGGATCCACTGCAGGAGGGGTCCCGTGCTTGAGCTGAATCATCAGACCTGTGGTCAAAAGGATGCAGTGGTATTCAAATATTGGCTATGGTTGGTCTCCACCACGCTCCCCCATGAGAGGCGTTCCACGAAACTCATATGGGTGTTGTTTCTTGAGGTTTCTTTTTGCGCTGGTTGTTTCCAGCGAGAACCGAAGGGAAAGCAGCGCATTTTAGGTGTCCCCCATGAGACAAAACCGAATGGGCACGGAATGTTCTCGACTTCCTGGCCGGCTGTACAGAAAAAGGGGGCCATCCGAGCATCAATATTCTCATTGCGAGACTACCTTGGCAACATGTAGTGCCCTTGTGGGTCACCCGTGGCGCTGTTTCAAGTCTCAAGGATCTAGGGGAATAGGTTCTTGCAATGTCGGGACGTGGTTTTTGCCGAGTGAAGGGGGCCGACGGTGCAGTCATTTCACTGGCTTTTGGTTTCCTTTCCCGCCCAGTTCGATTCACGCAGCGCCGTTTGAACGCGAGAAGTCTCAACTGATTGGCTGGTCAAGTCGACGTGGGATGTCTTGTGGCCAGACAAGCAGTCAAAACGACGTGCCCCACATTTATTATTATTATTATTACTATTTTTATTTTTAACAATAACCCGCTGGGTCTTTTGGTTTTGACAGGAACCTAACCTGGCGAATCGAGGCCGCAACAATGTGCACAACGTGGTGCACTGCACGGACCTCCCAGAGGACCTTCGAGTTCAGGGAAGAGCTCAAGAGCACGCAGTCGCTATCTGTTGGGTTGGGCTCGTGTTCTGTTGGGTTGCCGTCTTTTGAGGTTGCATGCTTCAAAGAGTGTTCAATGGAGGCTCTTGTTGGCAAGCTGCATGCTTCGGAGCTTGCGGCTTGCTTTTCTGCCTCTAGCGTGCGCTGAGAGTTTAGTGTGGTTAATCGGCCAGCCTTTCCGTTCGCAACACGGGGCAAACTAGCAAGTTGGGTAGGTGGGGTCGAGCACTCGCTTATTTCTCACCTCTATTGTCACTGGTGAGAATCGCCTGGTTGTCACCAGTCAATTTTTCTCGTTGGTGACGCATCAGGCAATCCTTAGTTGGTGGTTTGGATTGAGTGGGATTTGAACCCCCGGCTCTTAGAAGGCAAATTAAAATTGGACCCCTCCCACACCAACCGCAACCACGAGAGAAGCCGAGTCGTTTCTTCACATCTGGCGGCTGGAGCACACAGATGTGGCCACCTAGGAACCCCCACGCTGACTTTCTAAACCTGACAACTCAGGGCTTCCCAAACCCTGAATCCCCAAACCATCGAAGACGAAGGCCTACCTTGACTACCCTAAGCCCGACAACCCTGGACACTCACCTCCGAAACCCTGAAGGAAAACATACCCTGACCCTAGAGTCTAACAACAGCCCTGAAGCCGCACAAGCCTAAACTCTAACTCTTGTACAAAACCTAAACCCTACAAACATCCCCCTGTGCATTATAGATGTTTGTGAACGGGGGGTCGCCTCAGGTCGGGTGACCGAGAACCCATTTTGTAGGACTTGTGGTTGCTCATGTTTTGTTTGCTGGGTTCCCCTGCTCGAAATGACCCAAGCGTAGAAGGGGCCATCGCAGGGCCGCTTCTTAGAAGTTGTCTCTCTCTTTTTTCTAAAAATGTACACATTGTCATGATTGTTCATATATTTTCCTTACAGAATGGGTGCCCAGGCCATTTGGAACACTGGTAGGATTTAGAGCCGACTCGCCCACTTCAGAATGACATTTGGGTTTCTGGGGTGGTCCCGATGACATCGATCCCTAGCTCAAGTGACTGCAGTTTGTAATGACGACTTGGTAATACAAGACAACAAGCGCCCCGTCGAGCCCTACCCCTTCAAACCCTAGCTGCGAAAACCCTAAAAGGTCCAAACCCTGAAAGCCCAAAGGATTCCTTTCTTTGATGAAACAGGTTTGACTTGATGACTTACGCTCGCTTTCTCATCTGACCTGAAGGTGACCATGCAGCCTGGCTCAAGGTGAGCGCTAAGAGTATACGCAGACACTCAAGCCTACACATGACAGAAGACAACTACCTTTTGATGTTGCCATTTTAGCACTTGGAAACACCTATCTCTCGCTTCAAGCCAGCTTTTCATTCTGGGCCTCGGGAGTTGCGAGATACGCAAGGGATTGAAAGCCGGCCATGAGCCTGGCCCCAGTTGTCAGCGAACCTTGGACAGCAAGAGAGGAGGATTCCAGTGTCTTTTGCTCCGCAGCCACTGAGCAAAGTCTGGAATGCTCCTTGATAGCCAAAGGACGGCTTAAGGGGAAAGCTAGGAACAATTGTTGGGTGTCTGTTTTTTGAGGGTGCCCATCTTTCGTGGGTTTTAAGGAGAAACCAAAAGGATACCCGCCATTTTTGGGGTCCCCCCAAACAAACACACCCCTTGTCATCGTTTTTCAGAGTGAGAAAGAGAAACGCCGAGCTGTGCCAGGGTTAAGCCTAAGCCTCGGACAACCTCGAAACAAACGATGTCAGCTCCCGTCTTGGGCTTGTCCGAGACACCTAGAGGATTCATTTTGGGCAAGTTGTAGCAACCTCACAAGGGATTTGCAACTTCACCCAGGATGGTTCCTTTCATAGGGATCCCTTATTTTATTCACTCAGATCCATGGCATTGTGACACTTCTTGGAATAAGAACTCTCGCGTTCACACCGAACGTTTTTCGGGGGGCCGAGCTGGGCGTCAGGCGGCGTCATGTTCAGCTTGCTCTGCGGACTTTGGACCTGGCTGCTCCAGAAGGAGGAGACCAGCGTCGCGCGAGAGTGGTTTTACGATTTGGTCTTATGGTGGCTCGATCCCCTGTTAGTTTCATTTTGACCCGTACCCATTTGTGGCCTTTGTAACCTTTGTAACCGTTGGTAGAACTACGGGTCATGCCCCAACACGTCTGCAGTTGAAGTGTACGAAGACTTCATGCTACGGGGACAAGGAGTCCTGTGAGGGATGGCAGACCTTGGGTTCTTAGAGACACTTCTTTCACTGCGGATGCGCAATGCGTCCAATCTTGGTACTAGATTCGAAACTAGGCTTCTGCCCTTTCGAGTGCCACAAAGTGGAGCCTCCACTCTTTATTGGATGCGGTTAATTTGCACCTCGGGTTCAACACCAACCCAAACTTGTGTGTGGTCTCAGGGCCGCTGAAGTATTGCAAAGAAACTCGCGACTTCGTGCAGCGGTTGTGTCAATTTGGCCTTGCATGTCTGATCTTTCAGTAGGCCTATGCTCAGCCCACGTCACGTGCGTCAAGAGCGGAACGCGGAAAGAGGGCACTGCTCAATAGCTTGGGCTCAAGAGCCCACAAGAGACAGGCGGTGACGGCAGATTGGTGTATTGAGGAATTCTCTGAGTTCACATCCACCCTCTGTCATATCACCTGCCTGTGTGGTCAGATGACTGGAAAGGTATTCGCTGCCTTGGGAACCAACTGCGCTCGTCAGCAGCAGGGTTGTCGGGGGCATCTCGCAAGCGGTCATCCACCCCCAGGATTGTCTGCAGTGGGTGTGCTAGAGCAGGTAGATGAGCATGCTCTTTCTCACGCAAACATCCTCCTACTACTTCGACTTCGTTGCGTCCACTATGGCTGTGAAGGATGCCTTTGCTAGTCCTCCACGCCCGTCATTTTGCACGTGGCCTGAACTGTAGTGAAGATAAGACGGCACGTTTCTACGAATTGTGGCGCGGAGTGCCTTTCAGGGAGCATTGTCTCTACTGATGTTGGCCCCGGAGCATTGGGCATGTGCCCATGGTGACCGTTCAGTCAGGTTGCGTGATTCTTGCCACCACCACGTCTAGCATGAACATATCCTGCGCTGCCCCCCGTTGCCGCGAGCCCCCTTTCATCGATTCACGGGGCCCTGCGGACGCCGTATGCGCATTTCTGTCCTATCGTGAACATTGTGTGGAACTGCGCCTCGGCCAGCTATCGTACACAGCCGCGCAGACAGCACCAAAAGCAAAACTCTCTCTTGAGAGTGTCCGTGTTCGTTTGTTTGTTTTGTTGGTTTGTTCTGCTTTAGTTTGGTTTGCTTCTTTGTTTGCTTGCTTGTTTTGTTTTGTTTGTTCGTTTGTTTGTTTGCTTGCCTCCTGGTTTGCTTGCTTACTTGCTTCCTTGCTTGTTTGTCTATTTGTTTGTCTGCCTGTTTGTTCAACATTGTTGTTTGTGTGTTAACTTGCTTGTTTGTTAGTTGGTTTGCTTGCTTGCTTGCTTGCTTGCTTGATTGCTTGTTTGTGTCTGTTTGTTTCTTGTTTTGTTAGGGTGTTAAACTGTTAGACAGTTAGTCTTGTTTGTTTTTTGTTTGTCTATTTGTTTGTTTGTTTGCTTGCTTTCTTGTTTGGTTGTTTGCTTGTTTGTTTCTTTGTTTGTGTTTGTTTCCCATCAGTGTTGAAATTTGGTAAGGGTTCCACAGCCTTCTTTTGCGACGACCCATGGGTTTTGCTGCAGTTTCAGGGCCTGACTGGGCACCCTTTGCTTGGGCTGCGCTTTTCTGTTGGTTGCAGCAAGTCCCTTTGGAGCCACGTGCCCTACTTTGACCAAACGCACGATGAAGCTTAGGATTTCTGCTATTAACATTTGTCAAACGCTTCGTGCGGAAGTACTTTGACTCTAGAAAATGGAGGGCGTCTCATAGTTTGCGACAACATGGAGGATTTCATATTGCTCTCCAAGTAAACGCCCTGCGCAGGCCCAATTTTGCTTCCCATGCACATCGACAACATTCTCGGGGTGGCAGTTGCCAAACAATAAAATCATACATGTACACAAATATACACCTGTATACTTTGTGCCGGCGTTGCGGGTTTTCATTTCGCGCTGAAGCCGATACACCGATACACCGATATCCCTCCTCAGGATATCGGCGCGCGCGGATATCGGTGCGCGCCCCGAAATCCCCCCCCCCCCCTCGGAGGATATCGGCGCGCGCACCGATATCCCCCCTCCGCCAGAGAAGGTTTAGGATATCGGCGCGGTGGATATCGGCGCGCGCCTCCCTCCCCCGGAGAAGGATATCGGTGCCCAGATATCAGCGCTGTCCGGCGCGTGCCCCCGTATCAGCGCGCCAGCCGCCCCGACATCAGCGCGAGCTGATATCGGTGCGAAAGCAGGACATTGGCGCGTGGCCCACCCAGAGCAGGATAGGCGCGTGCGCGCACCGATGTGATGCCCGACCCCTTTCTTGGAACTTGCAGAAGAAGACCGCTGTCGGCGAGCGCCCCGATATGCCCCCCAGGCCTGTTTTTGCCCCCCCCCCCCCAAAAAAAAAACACAAAGGTCTTGGCGTGGCGTGGCCGGGTTGCGGCTTGCGCGGTGATCTCCCTTCCTGCGCATCGGCTATTGATTTGGGTGGTGCATTTGGATTGAGCCAATTCAATCATGTTCCTGCACATGCTTTTCCGGTGGCATCTGTTTGGATTGTTCCAAAACTACATGCGTGTAAATAGTGCATATAGACAAATATGAAATTTCTATGCTAAGGCTATATTTGAACAAGTATAGTTTTACATATTGATATGTGTGTATGTATGACAACACGTTGGTTACGCGTGTTTGCGGGAATGTAGGTTGAAATATCTGTTCATAAATATCAGTTTCCCATGGGGCTGCTACCTTATTATTTCGCCTGTGACAGTGGCGCCCAAATGTCTTTGTGGAAGCCCAGCCGAAAACAGCAAGCTTGAACTACAAGTTGCCCAGTGTCAAAAAGCATGTTGAAACTGAAAAACTATCAAGTCAAGTGTTGGAAGGCCCAGTGAGCAGTAAATCCGAGGACTGAAAACCACGAACCAAATTTCGGGATGCCCAAGAGACAGCGCAAACATGACCTTGATAAAATGCGGACGTCCCCGTGAACAGGAAGCTCGAAACACTATGAAACAAGGAATTTCGCAATATCGGCGCGCGCAGACATTGGCGCACCGATATCTAGCGGGGCCTTAGCAAGGATATCGGCGCGCGCACCGATACTGGGTCCCAGCAATCGGCGCGCGCACCGATAGCTACTGGGGCCCAGCAAGTATATCGGCGCTCGCGGATACTGATATCTACTGGGGCGCAGCAAGGGTATCTGCACGCGCGGATCTCGGCGTGCGCACCGATATCTACCGGGCCCAGCAAGGAAATCAGCGCGCGCGGATATCAGCGCGCCGAGATCTATACTGGGGCTTAGCAAGGACTATCAGCGCGCTCGGATATCGGCGCGCGCTGCGATAGCTACTGGGGCCCGGCAAGGATATCGGCGCGCGCGGATATCGGCGCGTGCACCGATATTTTTACTGGGGCCCAGCACGGATGTCGGCGTGCGCGCCGATATCTACTGGGGCTCAGCAAGGATATCGGCGCGCGCGGATATTGGCGCGGCGCCGATATTTTTGCTGGGGCCCAGCAAGGACAGCGGCGCACGCGGATATCGGAGCGCGCACCGATATCTACTGGGGCTGAGCAAGGATATCGGCGCGCGCAGATATCGGCGCGCGCACCGATATCTACCGCAGCCCAGCAAGGAAATCGGCGTGCCGATGTCCGTGCGCCCAGTTCTACTGGGGCCCAGCAAGGGTATCGGCGCGCGCGCGGATATCGGCGCGCGCGCCAATATCTAGCGGGGCTCAGCAAGGATATCGGCGGGCGCACCGATATTTTTACTGGGTCCCAGCAAGGATATGGGCGCGCGCGGATATCGGCGCACGCACCCCCGGGAAGGATATTGGCGCGCGGATATTGGCGCGCGCACCGATATCTGGATATTGGCGCGGCACGGGTTTGAGCCCGCCATGCCCCCACCCTGCATACATATATATATATATATATGTATATATTTATTTCACCGCTGCAGTTGCAATGTGGGCATATCTAAATGTATATATATATATATTCATATATATATATACACAAAGCGACAGATATCTACACGGTATGCTTAAACTGCATGTGCAAATCGCTCCACGTGTACACGTGTACACACCTAGGTAGATACATATCTATATATATGTATACGTGAGGTACCAAAACTACATTTTGTGGGGTTCAGTCTGCCCCCTCTCACCCAAAAACAACGAACACAAATCACGTTTTTGGCACTTGGCCGTACTCCCCACCAAAAACCATCAAACCAAAAACAACCTCAACAACACAACACCATTTCTGGCATTTGGCTCTTCTCCCCACTAAAAACCATCAAGAAGTAGCATTTTCTTTCTTAAACTCACTGTCGCCATGGCATGGGCAGCGTTTCCGAAGCAAGTTGGGAAAGGGCGTATCATGATGCCTGTGCCAGAATTCTCACATGTGCCATAATGGTCACTTGTTTTTGACATTTGTTTCAATATAGCAATTGCAGTAGGGTATTCGGAGCATCCTGCACACGAGTGTATAACGGGATGACGCTTGAAAAGGTTTGTTAGAGTCATACGTAGTTCTAGTTCTGGCTTTAGATGCCCTTAGCAGCTTTTGTTACTTGTGGGCTTTGGATCCTGTCACAAGTAGCAAGCTTATTTGCAAGCTTTTCTATATACAGGTTTACTTTGCTTGATTGGCATACTATGCCAGCAAGGTGTTGTGTGATACGAATTGTACAGCTACGGGCGCAATGCAATCATGAGGCTTGTATGCTTCAATTTATACGAGGACATGGTTACGGAAACTGCATAGCTTTGTCATAGCCAAAAGCTGTTGAATTTGGTCAAACGTGGAATCCTCAGGGTAGAGCTGCGTGTTGCTTTCATCACTATGCTTTTCAATTCCACTTTGTGTTTATCTACTTGAAGATACACGTGATTAAGATATGTAGAGCACCATTTGAACAATTGGACATTAGAGCAAGCTTTTGGGAGGAGGAGGGCTACATATCTCTATGTTTGTATGTATATATATATATATATATGCATGCAAACTGCTACGTGTTCATACATCATCATACATCATTAAGGAATCTATGTACATACTCATTCCTACCATTTCAACGCTGGTTATGAGAGTTTTTTTTCTCGTCATCCTGATGTTGGATGCGCAGGAGAGGCGCATGGTGCTGCTAGGTGTGGACAATGCGGGGAAGACCACGACCTTGGAGCAGCCGGGGCCTGAGCTTAAGAAGGGGGGGCGCCAGGAAGGAAAACTTTTTGGGTTTCCAACACTCAAAACGGTTTGCTTTGGCTTCGATTCGGTTTGCTTTAAAACCAAACCCAAGAAAGGGTGCCCTCAAACAAGAAAGACTTGAATGCAAAGAGGGCGGCAAACTCGCCCTTTTGGCATCTACGAAGGCCTTTCCAGGGTGAGTTACAGGACCCTCGGCCGGGGGGTCCATCATTGGGTTCCACTTGTGATTTGGGCAGACTTTCCAGAACTGGTTGATGTTCCCAATGGGATTTTTTCCGGTTGAAAAAGAATCCATGTCGTGCCGAAGCCCGTGCCTAAAATCGGAAGACGTAGGCTTGGAAATCAACAACGGCCGTTGGCAACCTGTATGTAGGTTCCCTTTGGACATTGATGGTCAGGCAAGAAAAGCAGTTCCGAATGGCGAAGAGATGTCCTTCGGGTAAACTTACTCTTGGACTTGGAAGGGACGCCGCCTCGAAACAAACGAGGAGGTGTCCCCAGCTTTGACATGTGTCTCTTTTTGTTTTCCCTGCCAACCCCCAAACACTGTACCCTCCAAAATGACATGCTCACATATCCTCTTGGCCAGTTTCCGTGGCTCTGTTGCTTTGGCTCGCCAACGATTTGAGGTGAGCTACTGAAACACATATCCATATGGGCAATTTTGGTAGGTAGCTTCATGGCAGTCGCCCAACAAATGCAGCCATGCATCCTGAGAGCGGTTGGGCACAGAGTCAGGCTGGAGCTCTATCCTTGTCGCCGTTCTTCCTGAGCTTGTCTCCAAATGGGGGAAGTCGAACATGGTTTCCCGGTTTCCCTTGGATTTTCACCAACCGCAGGAAGAGTACTTCACTTCTTGAAGGCTCCTCCTTTCGAATCCGAGGCTCAAGGCGCACTTCGGGCTCAAGGCGATGCCAAATGAGAGGCGGGAAACAGCGGGGTTTGTCTCAAGATGGGAATCGGAGACCCCAACGTGGCAACGGTTTCCTCTTCGTTTCCTCTGCAAACCAAACCAACAAAGGCATTCCTCAAAGAAGGGCATCTTGGCACCTCGGCGGTAGGGCTGACATTGGCGTGTGAAAGCTTTGCCCTTGGCCTAAACAAGTTGTGACCAATTCTGGGCCATGTAACTTTGCCGAAACGCAGGATTTGGCGAACAGAGGGGCGTGGCCCTTGAACAAGTCCTTCACTGTTTGTGGTGGACATAATTTAGGTGGAGATTCGTGTCCACCATGTTTGAGCATTCGGGAGTTGCAAGAGATGAGTTGGCCGTGCCCTTGGTGCGGATTCTGCTTTTGGACAGGATGGGTGAAGTGCGAAAACTGAACACTTCGTTGCATTTCAGTTGTTCCAATCTTTGCTCCAGGTAGTCTGAAATCTGGGGATGGGTTGATTTCCCCGAATGGGAGACCGCCTAGGTTTAAGTGTACCTTGGGACAATAACAAAAGACACCAACGATGCAGCCCCTTGCAAAGGTACGTGGTCTACCAGGGGCCTCCAGTCAGTACTTGCTTGGCCGTGGGGCAGTTCGATTCAGTATGCAACAGTTGCCGCTCCATCTCATCCTCTGTTCATTATTTATGATACGGTCTCGACAGTGCATTCGTGTGTGGGTCGTCCAATTGGAAGACAGCTGCTTCTCCTCGGATCAAGCTGTTCAGGGGACCCGAGACGGCCACGCTGAGCCGTTTTCGCTGGTTGACATTTGACAACCTGCAAGTCTTTACACCAGTCCCCAGTCGTAAACCGGGGTTCGGGCAACAATAGTTTTAACAATCAGGCCCTCCCCGTTCAAGGGAAACCACACAGAGGCTGTGAAAGCAATGGTCAAGCAAGTTCAAACAACCGATCCATCTTCGTCCAGGATCCCACCCACCATCGGCTTCAACATCGGAAGGATACAGATCGACAAGGCACCGGGGTGAGGGGGGTGGTAGTGACAAGGATGCAAACCTGTCTGATCGCTAAACCAACATTGATGAATCCGGGCGAGGCCCCTGCAATCATTACGCATGGAAGTGTTTGAGGCAATGCCGCAGGAAAGGGTCGATTTTCCATTTTAGTCGGTCCGGTAGTCTGTTGTTTCTTTGTTCAGTTGGGGGCGGGGGTTTGATCAGTCTGCATAGTGGAAATGCATTTGGCTGGCCGCCTCAGGGACGAGCAAGCAACAGAGAGAGATAGAGAGAGAGAGAGAGCCGCTGTAAAAATGAAGGGGCCACAGTGATCGGGCGTGACCAGTGACCCAGATTGGCTTTCAAGTCTTGGCCCAAGCTGTTATAAAGCTGCTTTAAAGGCTCCTATAAAGCTCCTTATAAACTTTATAAACGTGCCATATAAGGCTGACTGTACAGCTTCCTGTATGGCTCCTTTTCAAACTCCTCATAAGGCTCCTTGTAAAGCTGCTCGTAAGACTCTGTTTGAAGCTGCTTATACAGCTCTTTTTAGGGCTCCTTAGTGAAGGCCTCCTTTTGAAGCTCACTTGTTAAGCTGCTTATGAGTCTTCTTTTGAAGCTCCTCAGAAGCTCTTTAACAATCTTCGTACAAAGCTCCTTACACCACTCCTTATAAAGCTCTGTTTACGGCTCCTTAAAAGGCTCCTTGTACAATTCCTTGCAACCATGTCTAGGCTCCTTATAAAGCTCCTTTTAAAGCTCCTTATACTCCTCCAAAAGCTGCTTATTGGGCTCCTTGTCAGCTCCTGTTAAAGCTCTTTATAAAGCCCCTTCAAGACTCCTAGGCAGGCTCCTTGTACCAAATTGGATTCGAATTGAAGTTTAATCAAAATTTGAAAGCTAGGACATAATTCTATTAGGATTTCTGTTTTGAAATAAAGTTTGAATGGACATTCCTTGCCATATATGATGTGACCTCACATTGACTAGTAGAATGTGCATAGAATGTTTCTACGGACCTTTTATCTTCTGTTAGAATTTAGGCAAAACGTCCTTTCCAAGAAAAGAACTCAGCAAGGGAAATATGTTTACTGTATCAATCATAATTTAGAGATCTAAGTCCCGTTTAATAAGACTCAAAATTCAAGATTCCCAGGACACTAGTTGTTCAATCTTGAATCCAGTATGGGGCCCCCCAAATTTAAGATTCAAGAGTCCCAGGACTCATGAGCTATCGGCGCTTTAAAGCGTTTTTGGGTCAAGATCTAGAGTGCTGGGAATCTTGAATCTTGAATCTTAGATCCAAGAGTGCTTTAAAGCGCTTTACAGCGTTTGCTTTCAGTCATTCCTGTTTGGTTGTGCACCTTATTTTTCTTTTGGGCTTGTGTGCGGTCAATACAGTTGATAGTTCAGCATATGGACATTGGATTCTTTAGAAAATGGTTTAAAGAAATCCACGTCAACCCTCTGAAAATACCAGTGGCTTTCATGCTTCTTATCAGGCTTTGTGCAGAACAGCTTCCGTTCACAGAAGTTAGTGGCTAGACAGCGTGGCATTGTCAAGACATAACAGATGTGACCAGATGTTCTGGTATTGGCCAAGGTTGGTGACCTGACATACGAAGGGGATTTGCCAATGACTTGAGATGAGAGATGGGAGTTGTCTAGCCGGTGTTGGCTCAGGTTTTCAAGTTGACAGACGAAGAGGATTTCAGTTGAGATGAGAAATCGAAGATGCGTAGGCGAAGCAGAAGAGGTATTGTTTGCTTTATTGTTGATACCCTTGCGCCGGTACTCTCACAGAAATGTTTTACAGTCAATTGAACGAGGACAACACTAGTGATGACGACGATGAAAAAGCAAACAATATGGACACATCTTAACGGTACAGCACGATAACATCACGATTTCTATGTCAACACATTTTTCTTTTTTAAAATATTGACTGACAGTTTGGAAACCTTCGGAGATGTATGTATGAAATATTCTGCCTTAGATAGACCCCGTGTATTATGACACTTATCTACATTTGCTTTTCCAGCGTACCCAACGGTGCTTCTGATGCTATGTTCAAATGAACTTGTGTTGAAGTAAACTTAGTTTATGACCAGAAGATGTATGAATGATTGAACAAGGATCACAAGGAGGAATGTCACAAACATTTTTGAGAAATTGGAAGCACATGCTATTCAAAATGGGTGGCAAAGTCTGAATGAATCAAATGAGCTGTGAAATGACCTGACTTCCCTTACACAAGCAGCAGGCGTGGTGTTTTTTTTTTTGGGGGGGGAGGGACACACACACATGTATATATATATATGCTACCATATATATATATATATATAGATGGACACAAGCTTGGTGCCTTTCTGTGATGGTCTAAGAATTCAACAAAATCGGACCTTTCTTATATGCTACAAAGAGGCCATAGTAAAAAAACAGCAGTAGTGGTAGTAAGACAACCCTGTTTCGAAAGGAATATGAATTGAAGCCTTCTGATTGACACAGCTCCTTATTAGACCCTATTTGAGCTTCTAATTCATTTTCGTTAATTATTTTGTTCAGAACATAATTCGCTTTCAAGTTCTGATTTAATATGTTCTAATTGAACTGTTTTCCTTGGACAAGTCCATGATTTTTTAACCACATGTATTGCAAATCATATTTGGGAATGAGTTCCTACTTCATGTTCAAGGCCAATTGAATGATTTCCGTATTAAATTCTATTTGAACTTGAACCATACTTGGGAATGCGTTCCTATGCAAGCTGCATTTTCAAGGGCCAATTGAGTTCTTCCCGAAGTTCCCTATTTATAGTTTCTACTTAAACTCAGGTTTGGAAAGGACATCCCATTAAAAATCTAATTGGATCTGGAAATTATGGCGACCTTTGTCCTTACTAAGTTCATGGCCATTTCAAGTATTAGGATTTCCAGATTCTAGATTTCAGGTGCTGCAATATGGACACATAAAGGGATCAGAACTCCAATTTCAAAAGTCCCTCTTAGCGAGCAATTCTAGAAATGCCAGTTGCATTTACTGCCTTTTTTGGGCAGGACATCATATTTCTTTTCTATCTCCAAAGGCGAAGGAGTAGGTGAGCAGATATGGAAAAGTAGTTGACGGGCATACATATGGTACCCCTCATGAACCGTGGCCTTTTCACAAAACGTCAAACGCAGTGCTTTTGAGCATTGAGCCCACTTTTTTGCCTCCTTGAAAAGGATCAAGATGAGCATAGCTTACACAAAGCAAAACAAGCTCATCAACGACATTTGAACATCTTTCTAAATAACTTGAAGAACGTGTTCACAGCATTGCTAAACACTTGAACATATTTTATCTCTGGATTTGAGATTCAAGACATAAGGTTGTGCAGACAACTTTTTCGCACAAGTCAATCCTGGCCGATTCCAGGCAACTTGGAACTTCAAAGTCATTCACTGGATTGAACATTCAGAATTGACGATTGTGCAGAACACTTTCCCGAGACTCTTCAATTTAAGTCACCCTCCAAATAACTTTTAAGCGTTTCTGAAAACTTAAGTATTTCAATGCACTGGACTGAAGGTTCAAGACTGAAGATTCCACGGAACGCTTTCTGATAATCGTGTCCTCATATTTTGAATCCAGCCATTGTGGGAACTAGGAAAGCTTGGGGGGTTGCAGACCAAATGCGTATGACCGCATACGAACGCGCGCACTCGGTCGGAGATGCACGTACCTGGAGTGGGACAACACTAGAAGCTGTATTTATTGAAATAAAAGTTCTGGGGCTCAAGGTTCAAAATTCCAACACATAATTTCACCAGATTATTGAATCCCGAATCTTGATTCTCAGAAGCGGACAAAGAAACAAATGTAATATTTTTCAAGATTCCGAGATTAGTTCTCAGATTCTGGAATCTTGAAGGATGAGTCTAGTGTGTCCCAATACTCCGCCCATGATGCGTGTGTACATATATGGTTAGCCCCGCCCATGATTTACGTTTTGCTTTTTGAAACCCTTTCACATAGCCCTTTCTGGTGTATTGACAGTACGTAAACATGACACATTCCCACACACACACACACCTTCCTGTGATGCCGACGAGGTTGCTTCCCTTTATGCTGCACGCTCTTGTCGGTCCACGTCACACCAAGCCCTTCACGACCCCATTTTACATGTCACACCAAAGCCGAAACGGAATATCCATTTTGGCAGATCAAACCGTCAGCTGCGCGATGTTTTCAATGCGGGCAAAGTCGTGGACTGAAGAAAACAGCGTGGTGCACTGCCGCATTGTTTGTGGGCGCATATTCGTCTGGCCCTGGCTGAAGAGAAAGCGGGCACACAAAGGAAAAACGCGCCATCGGCTCAATCGGGTCTGCGTTGTTGCGAGGGTACCTCTGTTTTGGTGGGTTTAAAGGACACCCACCAGGAAATCCACCAATGTGGGGTGTTCCCTGGCGACCTGAAACACTCCCCACAAAAGTGTCGCGCCCTTCGGCTCGTGAGGTCATCGCCGTGTTCTGGGACCTGGGTGGCCATGCCTCCTTCCGCTCGGTTTGGCACAACTACTACCCCGAGGTGCAAGGCGGGTTGACATAGGTTTCCTTTCCGGTTTGGTTGAAAACAAGTGGATCTCACGGTTTGACTCGGTTTTTCCTTTTTCCAGTGGAATCCATGTGGTTTTGACCAAAGCCATGGGCTCTGGGGGTCTTTGCAGGGTTTTGGGAACGGCTTTGTTGGCGCTCCTGCAGCTTCCACCCGCCCAGGGAGAATTGATTCTGATCAACTGCCCTCAACTCCAAGCCAATTTGGGGCGACAGTTGGGTTAGGGGTCGGATTTTGCCAGGAGTTGCCTTCTGTTCGGGCCACTCATGGGATTGCTTCCTTTGCTCGGTGAGCCTGTGCTGGGCTTTTCAGACTTTCTGCTCTTTATTGCGTCCAGTTCTTGGTAAGCCATAGAGAATTTTGGCAACTTGCAAACGCCGTCTGCCCAAGCCAAATGAAAATACACGTCGGGCGAGCGAGAGGGAGGCGAGTTGCAGGTTCGCGGGATGAGCCGAATCATCGCTGGCTGTTTATGGCCATGGCTTGCAACTTGCTTCCCCATTCGTCAGTGTTTAACCGGTGCGCTGGTTTTGGGTCTGATTTGTCCCATGTGACGGAGCTGGGATGTTATTGGCTTCAAGCATGTCGTCACCGTGTTCGGGGGCATGAGTTGGGTCTTACTCTCACCTTCACCTCCACAGTGCCAGGGGGTCCCATAGGTTTCTTTTACGGCTTCGTCCGCATTGGGTTTGCCCTGTCGGGCACGACAGCCATTGGCAACTCTCAGCGAGTCATGAAGCTTGAATTGACTGGGAAAGAGCTGTGCTCCCAAATTGCCCGGAGTCCCTGCTTCCTAAAGGGAGGGGTTTCCCTGCCAACCAACTGGTGGGTGTTCCTTTTGCCCATGGGCAGTTGAAGGAGAGGCCGAGACAGATGGAAGTCGTCAAGCCACAGGGTGCGCGTACAAGGGCATCCAGCGTGGCAACAACAAGTGACACAACAAACCGCAGGCAACTCAGTGAAAAATGGCGAGCAGGGAGGCCTGGCTCATGATGGTGGCTCGACCCGGGAAGTTCTTCACATTGGAGTGCAAGCCAACGCCACCTCCGCAGGCTTTTTTGAACAGAGGTGACCCTGTAAACAACTTCCACCCTTTTTTGCCATGCATCCAGTGGAGAAGCCGATCCTCAGCCATGTGTTTTTCTGTCTCCCGAAAGTTTTGGGGCCGTTTTTCCCCACGTCGTTGACCCGTACCGAACCCCACCACCCCCGCCTCCGCCTCCCCCCGCCTCCCCCACACCTCACCCCGCCGCGTGTGCCACAGGGGTGATGTTCGTGGTGGACTCCGCCGACGCCGCGCGGCTGGAGGAGGCGAAGAAGACCTTGCTGGAGGTGGTCAGCCACGAGCAGCTGCAGAAGGCGCGGCGCTTCGGGGGCTGGGGGGTTGGGTAGATGGAGCGTGAAAGGATATAGATCATGTACAAGGCGCGCACGCTTTTGGTACACTCGGGCATTCTGTGTTGCCTCCATTTTCACATTGTTTCACATTTCTCTAATGTAGTGAGAGCAACTAGGACACTTAGGGAAATTGAGCGCCATGTTTTTTTGACGTGTTTCTCATTTCAATGAGAACCAACAGAAAACATGGACATTTGAAGGCACATATCCAAATAATTTTGTAGTTGTTCTGGTTTAATTCTAACAATTAGACACACATAGGAACCTTGAGGGCCATGTTCCCTATTTTTTCCGATTGTTCAAATTGAATTCGAACAAAGATAACACACACAACAACAATTTGAGAGCACTTTTCCTCTTTCTTGTTTCGTAATTGGATTAGATTCGAAAGGGAACTATTATAGCAACTCGAACAGCTAAAAGAAACATGTTCCACCGGTGAGTCGGTCTGGGAAGTTGGAGGGAAGAGTGCAAGACGACCAGAAGACTACAAGAAGCCTTCCTGTAGTTTCACAATCTTGTAGTCTTCCCGCAGCCTCTGGAATTGGAGAATTAGAGGACACAGAACAAATACAGGCAATAGCATACACAAACATGTGGCAACAAACGCATGTGCAACATATTGTACATACTCTTCCCTCTTACGGAGGGCAGGGAGAGGGGGGGCTGGGATAGAGGGTCGGAGGGGAAGAGGAAGATCGTGACTGTTTCAGGAAGAGAAGCCTAGTTTGTGAAAGTGTCTTAGCATCATTCTATCACATCTTTTTCAGCCGCACTTAACCCAACTGGACTGCACTTTCGGGGAACAACCGACGGGGCTGTTTTTGCCGGCGCAGTAGCCACCGTTGTCATTGAATGCAAGTCCAACATACACTTGGGGAGTTTTGGGATCTCTCCAGGAAGCACATAGAATCTCGATGAATCAACCTACATGGGACACCCGCTATTCAACCCAGGGGTATTTATTCTGGGTAACTTTTAAAAGACGCAAAGCCATTGGCAGGGAAGACACCAGTCCAAACATCTCCACAGGTCCCGCTGCTTTGCCTTGCCAACAAGCAAGACAAGCCAGAGGCGCTAAGCGTGCAGGAGCCGGTTGCGAGTCGAAACAAGCGAGATGGGCCCTTTTTCGGGATGGAGCGCCATGGTTCAACATCAAGCCTCAACAGGATGAAGAGCACCATTCAGCTGTAGCCTACTGCCATTTTGACAGACAGTCTCAGACATTTGTTCCGATTCTTTACGGGCTGATAGACTCCTTGAATCCCGCTAGCTTCAAGGATTGCAGAACATGGGTTGATTGGGGGTTTACAAACCGCTTAGCTGCAGACTTAGCTACCCTTCTTCCAACCATCATAGAAGTGGACAAAGTGCCTTTCCACGAGGTCACTCGCAACTCCAGTTGCCCATACACAGGGGGTGAGGCTGCGGAAAGTCTACACCCCGAGTCGCGAGGAGCTGTCGCGGATCTTCGAGTTCGAGAGGGTCTTCAGCGACCGGCCCTTCCACGTGCACCCTTGCTGCGCCTTGCAGGGCCAGGGCCTCGAGGCGGCGGTGAGGCGCCGGAGCAATCGATGCGCCTCGTGCCGGTTCCGCCGCAAATCCGGGGTGCACGGGCCGGGCGGATTTGTGATGTCTGGGGGGGGGGACTTGCAGGGTCCCAGAATTTGGTGCCAGTTGCATGGCTTGGGAGGGTTTTTTGGGCGGTTTTTGCCCGGCAGGTGGCTGCTAGCAGAAGCCGACAAGTTTGCGAAGAAGTGAAGCACGCGGACACCAACCTCCGCGAGGATCCGAGACCCATGGCAGGCACCAGGCGAAAGCGTAGGCTACTGTTGGGTGGCTGAAGGCTCCTTGTTTGTAACCCCTCGTTGTCAACGATTTTGCATCATGTCCGTTTCCATTCCCCCCAATGCACTTTGTTGTCTTGGTTTCTCTTGAACACGGCGCCCCTCAGTCTCCCTCAACCAAAGCATGCTTGCCCGCCCATTCTCGCAGGGAGCCTTTTCGGCCGCAGGGCTGCGCCCCACGCCCGCGGGGCTGCGCCGGCTGTGCCGGAAAAGCGGCGATGTGGCTGCCGGCTGTCCGAGGTTCTCAGGGCCCATAAGACTGGTCATTCCTATCGTTTCCCACCCCCTTAGCCTGTGATCAGGGTCTCACCATTTTGATGGAACCAAATGTTCAACAGGACTTTGAGAGCTGCTTGAACGATGTGGTCTCCCGCATCATCTCAAGGTTTCCAGGCCAGCCCGAAAGGCAACTCTTAATATACAATATGTATGTATGACTATATATATATATATACAAATGGTACAGCGTTGCCAGTCCCCCCCCCCCCCCCCAATGGTCATGGGTCAGACAAGTTCCCCCCCCCTGTGGTTGTGGTCCTGTGGTTGGGTTGTGGTGGTTTAGGGTTGGTTTAGAATTGGTTTTGGGTATGTTTAGGGTCTATTTAGGGTTAGTTTGGGGTTGGTTTAGGGTTGGTTTATGTTGATTTAGGGTTGGTTTAGGTTTAGAGGTTTACGGTTTAGGGTTTGGTTCAGGGTTTGGTTTAGGGTGTATTTAGGGTTGGTTTAGGGTTAGTTTAGGGTTGGTTTAGGGTTGGTTTAGGTTTAGGGTTTATTGTTTAAGGTTTGGTTTAGGGTGTATTTGGGGTTAGTTTAGGGTTGGTTTAGGGTTGGTTTAGGGTTGGTTTATGTTGATTTAGGGTTGGTTTAGGTTTAGAGGTCTACGGTTTAGGGTTTGGTTTAGGGTGTATTTAGGGTTGGTTTAGGGTTAGTTCAGGGTTGGTTTATGGTTGGTTGCGGGTTGGCTTGTCCTGGGGGTGGGGGTGCCGGGGTGTCGGGGTGCGAGTTCAGGGGGTGGGGGTGGGGGTGGGACCGTAGGTGACAGGATCCGGGGGGCTCAGGGTCTCGGGCCGGGGGGGGGGGGTCCTGGCACGCCCATACCATTTGGGGCGGGGGGGGTGAGGCCCACTGCCCCAGGTGCCTATCCCAGAAGGGAACTGGTACCCTGTGGTAGTAGAGGTCGTTGTTGGTCCCTGGATCTATTCCGGAGAGAGTCCAACATGCCAATGTGGATGATTGGAGGATGGATTGTCCCTGGTGGATTGTCTTGTGGATAATGCTGTAAGCGGCCTGCAAAGGTTCTTGTGCTTTACGCGATCATTGATGATACAATGATATGCGCAAAAGGGGCCTTGAGCCAAATGGTTGCGGGAGATCAACTGGATTGGGAAACAACCACAAAACAGACACAAATTTCTTTTGATCTCCAGCACTAAGTATGAAATACCATTGGCTTCATGGCCTTTGGCCGTAGCCTTTGATGTATGCCGTAGCCATGCTGTGTGCCGTAGCCATGTGTATTAAAAATGCCGGATTCATCCTCTTTTCTGCTCGGATGAAATGTCTTGGCTTTCGAAATGGAAAGCACTATGGACTGCTTCTTTTCGGCATACCTAGATGTATCAAAGGGTGATGTACGACGCTATGTACACGAGGGACGATTGTGAAACTATTGATCTCTCACTCATGGTATAGTCTTGTAGACGGCGAGGATCAATCATCTGAATTGAGTTCGTGGTGCTGAACGTATGAATCTTCATGGTCAGTCGGATCGACGATACCATCGGCGGCTGCTGTCGGATTGACTGCCATAGTCTCCATAATCATTCCAGGTCGAGTTGCTATAGTCCTTCCACTGCTTCTGACGTCCCCACTGCTTGTTGTAGTCCTTGTACTCCTGCGGGGTCCAGGGTTGTTTCTTCTTGATGTACTCCTGGTATTTCTCAGCGCTGCGTTTACTGGTTGCAGATCTGCTGCGGATGTACACCATGAGAGGACTGTGAGAGTCGGAGTCCTGCGAGCCATTCATGAACATGTCATTGTTCACGTGCTTAAAGCACTCTGCGGATGAGACCTGATAATCGAATATGGCCTTGGTCGGATGGTTCTGCATGAATTCCAGTTGTTCATCATCCATGCCGTTCATCTCGTCCTTCCGGAAAGCCTGCTGGATGTTCGTTTTGCCCCATCCAAATACGAAAGTCATCATCACGTCTGGGAATGTTCGATCATATCCTGATCCACACTTCATGTACAGGTGATGACGGATAATGGATTTTAGGGTGCACGAAGTCTCCATTGCATACTCCATTCTGTCCACGAGTGGCAAATCTTTCGTTTCATTCCACAGTCTCTGATATTCTCTCATGAGTGCTGGAGCTTGCTGTAGGTGTTCGCTGATTTGTTGGCGTCTCCGGTGATCGCATCGCATCGGTACAAGGTCACGAGCGGCATGATTTCATTTTGAAGATCTTCCCTTGCTGCTCCATGGCTAATTGAAGGATGGATGTGGAAAACTCCAATGGTAGCGAATGGGAGATCTGCCCTCGTTATGTGGCGGTCGTCATACTCATGGAGTGACTTGTTGGATGATTTCGGGAGCATGCCACGAAACTCATCACTCTGCTCGATGTGGAGAACGACGATCTCCTTGTCTCGGCCATGTCCTTGGACAATGGTGCGTGTTGGCAATCTCGGTTCAATGTACTTCTTGGATTCAGAAAACATGGATGGTCCTGTAGTTGCCAAGCAATCCGAGGTCGGAATTTCGTATTCGGGATCAGTGCAACTTCCTTCAGTTCCGAAGAAACATCTGAACATTCCGAATGTGGTTCCCCAATTCTGGCTCTTGGTGGAAATGTGTCTTGCCAGAAGTTCCACTCTTGCAGAAGGTCCGCCACGGACAAAACATGCGATCGGTCTGGATGACCACTGCTTGATCACGATGCCCTTGTAACCGTATCGAATGAACGTCTTGATGAGCTCCCTGGATTTCTCATCATTAGGACTGAAGAATGCGTCTGCTTCATTCAGGCGTAAGATGTGTGCACTGTTCTGCATCATTATCATCTTTACGATTGGTCGATCCTTCATCGGCATGTTGTGCACCTCCCTGTTGTCCAGCTTTGGATTCCTCGTGAGGTTTCCATAATTCAGGGTAAGCATGTTGATTGCTATGGATGAGGTGAACTCATGCATGTTGAGATAGTCCACAGGAGGACGGTCGGTCGGCTGCATCAGCGATCCCAGGATATCGGCATAGGCTCGGATGATTTTCTGGTCGTCATGTGACCTGAGCTTCTTCAACCCAAGCGGAAGCTTGATCGGATATCCGGATCCTGGTTGAGCTTGCTTGTACTCGTCGATGGTGGGACATTCTCCTCGATGAGGGAAGTAGTTCTCCGAGATTGACATCGGGATCGACATGTGCCAATGAGGCTCTCCTCGCACTCTGTCAAGTTAGGATGAGCTCTTCTTGGGTCTTTGTTGAACTTGTCCATGAAGCGGGAAAGGTTAGCCTTTGTCTCCGCGAGCTCTTCCTCTGCGTCCTTCTTGTTCAAATCTGTGTCGAGATAGATTCCCTTGAGTTCTTGGATGAACTCATCTAGGTTCTCTGAATTGTGATATTCCACGGTGACTTTTGGTTTGACGGATCTTTCCCCGGAGGGTTCCATCGTCTCTTCTTCAGCTTCGTCCTGATCGGTGGAATGCCGTCTCTTCTTGGTCTCTGAGGAAGTATCTTTTTCCTTGCTGTGCTTGGTGGAATTCACATAGTTGAAGAAAGCATCAGCAAATTCGCGGATCTTGGTGTCGTACATCTCATAATCTTCATGACTGAGATGCTTCTTCATGACCCACTTGTTGCTCGTCATGAGGCTGCCATCAGGTTCAAATGCTGCAACGATGTTTCTTGCCTCGATGGTTCTGTCTGTCAATGCTGTTCGCTCTTCGGAGAGTCGGATGCCATAGTCTTGGTCCTTGAGGAATGCAAGGATCAACAGTGCATCTCTTCCTGCTGGCACATGGGTCAATGCGGCTTCTGACTCATCGTCGTCAAGGATGACGTCATCAATGCATGCCATGTGGACGTGCATTCTCCCCGAAGGGTTTGACTGGGATTTCCGAGATTTGAGCCCGTGCTCCATGATGCTGAAAAGCTGATTTCCATAGGTTGCATGGAACATGAATGTGATGGGCTTCTACGCGAACGGCTAGATTTTTCTCTCTTCTTCAATGGATGGTGGTGCCGGCCTTCGCATTCTGTACTTGGGCTGAGCGGTGCCTTCATCTTCATGAGGTGCCTTGGATCTTGACGGATGCGGACTTGGCGGAATAGATTCCGTTGGTAGATCATAGTCTGGTTCGTCGTGATGAGGCTCTTTCTGCTGCTCAGAGTACAGGGGTCGTCCGAAGGATTGGATCTCGACTTGTCGTGTGTGTCCGCTGTTGCATCTCACATAGAACTCCATCTCCGGATCGACATGGAATTCATTTCCATCGGGCCTGAGTGCATTTTGTGCGGATCTCGTGGTGAGCTTGTCGATCCATCGATTCCTTGGAACAATTTCTCCCCGTGCCTTGCGCTCATTGTATGTCCCGTCCACGGATGGAAATACGAATGCAATTTCGAAACGTGAAATTCCATAGCTCGGGAACATAGCCATCAGGAGAAGTCCTGGCTTGTTTCCCATGAAGTTCCTGGCATGTGTGAGGCAGGTCAATGCGTCATAGAGCTCGACGGAACCATCAGGACCCATGTCCACTGGTCGTTTGCATTCCTTATGGGTTCCATGCCTTGGATCATGTCGAAGACATCCGGAAAGTGATCTGCTCATTCTCTCAATTCGCCAGAGGATGAGATCTGTGATCTGTTTCGCCTTGGATGGATCCATGCTGAAGTATTTGCAAACCTGTTCG